GGGACCAAGAAAAGGACCCTAATTTAGAGAACTGCCCATATTTGGGAAGTTTTCTATTGAAGATGGATGCCTGCAAGATCAGAGAAGGGTTAGGGTTTGGGGTTTAGGGTCTAGGATTTGGGGTTTTAGGGTTTACGGTTCAGGGTTTGTTTCCTAGAAAGGATTATTCACATATGTTGTCATGTACGGACTAAGGAGTGCCACTGTTGCTACTGAAGACCCCTACAGTATCAAAGACCAGTGTCCTTTGAACAAGCGCTTCTTTGGTATTAGGGGTCTCTGTATTCAGGATGCTGTTATTTAGGTCCGTAACCAATTGCTGTTGATTCTTCTGTGCCTGACGCAAAACCGAGCTTAGTATGGCGTCTGAAGGCCTGATAAGTCCAAGCCCGGGAGTATCTTTGAATCCATCTAGCTACTGCTCCACCTCTCCGGGAAAGTAAGCAAACACTGTTGTTTTGGGGGGTGATCCACGCAGAACCCGCAACATAAAACGGAAAGAACAAACGTGAGAAGGTACCGAAGAGCCGTACAGCATGTGTACTTCCGAGGCTGGGGCTTTGATAGGACTTGGGGTTAGGTTGTAGGGTTGGGTTTTGGTTTGGGCAGATTTCAAGGTACAAGTCTGTATAGCGAGGCCAGATGAATAATATTGCTATATTGTCTCAGTGAATGTGTTGCTTAAGGATCCAAACAAAGAGCTGCTGCATTCGGGGGGCGGCTGAAAAATGAGTGCAGGGGCCTTAGCAGAGCTCGGGGGTCGTGGGAGCTCAAAGGAACCTAAACCCTAAACCCTAAACCCTAAACCAGTTCTACTAGGCGTTTGGCTTCCAGGTTTGGGTAGCGGTAGTTTCTCTCCGGAGTCCCGCCCCTCTTGGTCGCCGTAACCCTAAGCGAGGCCGGAGGCCCGCGCAATACTGGCGCTCCTGAGCTTTCTGTAGGGAGTTGCCTCCACACGCCGACAATCTGTACGCGCTGCGAGGATTGCCAGGCAGACCCCACAATCGGTGGCTGGTCCAGCAGATTCACCTCTTGCCGTCTGTTTCAGACGAGCGAGGGCTGTTTCTGCCAATCTTTTTCTATATTCCCCGTGGACGGAGGAGCATTTCTTTTGGTGCATGTCCACCGCACTGGTGGTTCGGTTGACAGTTCTCATCAGCAGTGGCGAGGGTGGTCAAGGAGACCGCTTTTCACAGGAGGGCCCGCAGAGCCCGCACTCAGGCCCGCTTTCTGTTACGCAGTTGGTTGGCGGGACAACGTGCCGCATCTACCGGAGCCCTGCAGATTGCCAGCCAAGTACTGGCGAGACACCACAGCGCCAGCACACTACCGGATTTAGTCAGAAGACGCCTGCAGACCGACAGGATGGCGGCAGCAGGAGGAGGGGGATGGTGGTGCAGTTGGTGCCAGCGGTACGTGAAGCAGACAGCAACGTACTGTTCCAGCTGTGGCCGCCACTGGCAGCAGACGGTGGGCGATACTACATACACAGGCCACAGACAGGAGGCGCCGTGGAAAGCCGGATGGCAGCAGGAGCCGCGATCCCCGAGGCGCCGCCAAGCTGCGTCACCCCGACGGAAGGGCAAGACGGATGGCAAAGGAAAAGGCAAGAGCATGGATGGCAAAGGACAGAGCGGAGGCAAAGCTACAGGGCAAGGCGAGGTCTCGATGATGCCACCGAGTGTGGACAGCCTGCCCATGGCACCCTCCGCACCGGCGGTGGCGACACCGAAGAAGCTGGGAACCGACGCACAGCCGGCGCCCGAGAAGGCGCAGCTCGAGGCCCTGGTGGGAATGCTAGCGGCCTCGACAGCGAATTTGCCGCCAGCAGCCCAGCAGTTGCTTGCGAGTCTACAGGAGAATCAGGCCCAGAATACAACCAAGGCCATGCACCGAGCAGTGGCAGATCAATCACGGGCCAAACAGGCTCTGCACAAAGTGCAGACGCAACGTGCAACCTACTTACAGGCGTGGCACGAGTACTTGAGTCAGCTGGCCTCCTTGCTGGAGACGCAGCTTCAGGAGCAGACGAATGTCTTGGAGTCACTGGACCAATCCGAGCTGATGTGGGTGGGCGCAGAGCAAGCAGCCACTCAGCTGTTGGCGAAGATGAATGGGTCGGAGACGGGACCCGACAAGGAGGAGGAGGACTCCGCGAAGGAGATGGACACGGCAGAAGCTACGGTGGAGGAAGCGATCGAAGCCGAGGCCAAGCTGAGAGCAGCCACCGAGGAGAGCCAGCAGTCAGCCAAGAAGATGCTTACTGCATTGGGGGACATGAAGCAGACTGCCGAAGCACAGATCAAAAAAGCCAAGCGAGAAGGCTCCCGCACACCCAGGCGGGGGGCAGCTGGCGAAGCATCGCAAGATGGTGGGCCAGGGCAAGCTGCTGCTGCTGGGGATGGCAACAAGCAGCACAGTCACCGTGGAGCGGACCCTGGCAATGCTCGTCCATAGGCCTAGGTGCTATGGGTAGCGGGCCGATGGAAGCCTGGCGAAGTCCAGAGCGACATAGTATTTTTTCGGATCCAACTTTCGTCGGAGCAGGGGCTGCGGAGTTGTTGGGCTACATGAGACAGTTCGAGCAGGGGGTCGAACGTTCAGTGGGAATGCGGGTGCACACCGTGTTTCATGATCCCAGGGAGGGCTCACAGGGACAGCTAGTTCCCACGACGTATGACAAGGAGCTCTCCGCAGCGAAGATCGTGAGCGGCCTCTGTCCGAGGCCCTTCCTGTGTGTACAGAAAGCACAGGCAGTTAACCTGCCACAGGCCGTCGGTTGTGCTGACATGTTGGAATACGACGGGGGCCTCCAAGGTGTCGTGGATCATCTTTTCCAGGATCCTGCCGAGCGCATGTGGGATATGCCGGTGGTGAAGCCTGATGCAGGATGGTCTCGAACCCAAGAGGGGCACTGGTCGTGCTTCAATTGTGTCAGGCCAATGACTCGGGCCATTGATTTTCCATGTAGGCTGCAGACAGGCCCCAATCAGACTCGCCGAATGAGGCCCAAGGTCCACTTCGGCGATACACCCTCACAGAGCCAGGTTAACAGGTGGATAGGTCAGGTCAACCAAATTCCTGCACCAGCCTCGCCGACTCGGTCGCAGCCAGTGCAGCCTGCAGCTTGCACGGCAATGTCCACTCCTCCTAGCATCGTAGATGCCCTGAACCGAGGCAGGTGCCCTAGGCTACATCCCGTCGGCGGCATATCGACAGATAGCCACCCCCGAGTTACACTGCTGACTCAAATGATGGCACAGCAGGCGCACCTGGTGCCCGCAATGCTGGAGGTCCTCAGGGAGGCTAAGCTGCCGCAGGTCCGGGATGTCATTGATGTCAGTTCGCCCAGAGAGGGCGGACGAGTGCCCTACGACCTCTTCGAACCGGACCAAGGCCGACGCACAAGGCAGGCTAGGGAAACCTGGAGCATTGAAGAACTTGTGCAGGATGCTGTCCATGTGGTGGCATACACGGTTCGATGTATACAGTTCCCCAGCCGCAATTTGCCACGAACGTATAAGCCCAATGTTGTCATGACGCCGAGTAGGGCAGGCCGTGAAAGACTGGCTGTTCCAGTTGATGCACGGGACTTCGGCGGCAGCATCGTCACGATCATTGTTGGGCACGGCATGACAATGTTCGAGGTCCTGAGGCAGGTGCTTGACAAGTCAGGGGACAGACTGCAGCACCTGGCAAGCATGCATTCGGGGAGGCAGGTGTATTTCGCTGACTCAAGAAATAGGAGGGTTGACATGATAGTTGCACCGCTTGTTCAGTATGAGTGGCTGGCGATACACTTAACGTCCGGTGGGGCTCTACCCGCCTCAAGTTCAACGTCACGGCCTGATCTTGAGCCAGAAGCCCCGCCAACTGAGTGGCCCACTATCCAGCTAGCACCTGCCAATCTCCTGTTCACACCTGAGCCCAACGAGCACAGCATGATACGAGCAGCTGCGATGCAGGTCTTCCCAAGTATCCTTCAAGAACGGGATACCTTCACCTCGCCTACGCACTCTTTTAAGTGGGCCAAGTTACAAGGGACACGCTGGGGTATTTCACTGTCTATGATACGCAGCGCCATGTCAGCATTGGTGAGTGTGGGGTGCACACCGATCTGGAGACCCTAGTAGCCCAGGCCATTCAGAGTGCCCCTTTCGAAGTTATTGCAGTTCAGGTCCTGACAGACCCCGTCAGTGACTATCCCCGGCCCCAGCTCGTGCTGCACCAAGCTGGAAGGCCGTTCAACGTTGCACCGGTGCCATGGGATCTCCGAGGCGCAGGCAGAGGCATAAAGACGATTGAGCATCCAGCGGGCCAAAGCATTGTCGACGCCTTGCAGCAAGTTGATCAAGTCGCACCGGGAAGCCCGACGCTTGTAGATGGCTACCGGAGTGATGCTATCATCGTACATGATGCTCTCGGACCTCTTGGCCGTGTCATCCCAAGAGACCTCCAGGCCGTTCAGCACTTTCGGGTTCACGCCAAGCCAACCACATGGCGGTTCAGTGGGGTCAACGGGCCGAGGTTTTTCGGAGGGACCAGGTCGCATGAGGGCACCACCTTTACTACTACCTGGATGCAGGTCCTGGCAGCTCCGGTCCCGAGCCCTACTCTCCGGATCATCCTTTTTCGAGGGCACCAATCTGTATCGGCTGACCTCAGCCATCCATACAGCCTGCTTGAGGAGGTACTTGCGCGTCTTCTGCATCAGCTTAGCCACGAGAACCACCTGCCCACTGGTAGTGGCATAGTCTTAGCGGTGCGGCGGCGCCTCAAATGGGGTTTCTCCAGGAAGTCTTCTTTGTGGTTGTTGAGCCTACGGCCGGTGTACCATATGTGTGGGATGCCAGGGCTGTAGAGGGCGGTTTGCAGCTCATGTATGCAGATCGGGATGTGCCGGTGTCTCAGATCTTGTCAACCGCATGGCGCCAAGCCCAC